GATACAGAAAGCAGATGTTTAACATATTTTTGCATGATTTTCCTTGACTGTTAGAGTGGTAACTCTGAACCCTATGACAAGGTTAGAATTCTCAGTAAATACTGAGAATCTAATTGTTTACTGTTCTTGCCTCTTTATGTTCCATACTTATATCACAAGTATTGATGAGCTTATTTAAATGATTTAGGTCTTTTAAATAAAATTTATATAACTCAGGGACCTTTTAGGTTTTCATACTAAGCTTCAGTGGAAAAGAAAGGTGAGCAGTAGGCTCGTTGCTTGGGGTTCCTGAGAATCAAGGCATTCTGATAGGCTGTTTAGGTGTATAACACAAAATCTATTTCTCCACAGTTTAAGATCAGTGAGGAAAATTTTACTCAAGTGATTTTTTAACTTCTGAGTTCAGTCCAGGAATGGAAATATATTAGACTCTCTTATTTCCAAACAGCTGAACCTTATCTGACTAAAACATAAAATAATAATTTAGAAACTCATGGAATCTAAGGGAAAAACCAAATTATCAATTTGTGAAAGGCAATACAAACCCTTGCCCAGTGATTTAAAGGTAGAAACCAGGAAATGCAACCAAAACTTACTTTAAAAAACAGAAAAGGAGAGCCTCAATATTTTCGTAGAAAAAGTAAAAAGTAAAATTTGCTCAACTGCCTAGAAATTTAGAAAGCGAGAAACCTTGATTAAATATTTTTTTCTGGTAAAGCTAAATGCTTTTTCATAAAATTAGCCATGCATAGTTTTTTTAAAAACTTATTTTTCTTTAGAAATTAGCTTTTCTGGTCAAGTCTATCAGCCTTCTTTGTAGTATTTCTGTTTTTGCTGTCTTGATGAGAGAGGTCTTCCTCATTCAAATGTTGTAGAAAAATGCTTGAACTGCGGAGCTAAAGCAGCTCAGGCATTTTCTTGGTAAGCACAAGGTTTGGAATTTGATCCTTGGTACCAAAACAAACAAATATGTATTTGTAGGACCCAGTGGTATATACCTATAATCCTTGCTATTTGGGAGGCTGAGACAGGACAGTCACAAAACAAAGGCCAGCCTGGGCAATGTAGCAAGACCTTGTCTCAAAAAAAAAAAAAAAAAAAAAAAAAAAAAAAAAAAGAAAAAGAAATCAGTTAACTAAGGAGGGCGTTTGCTGGGGATGTAGCTCCACTGCTAAAGAGCCCTTGGGTTTAATCCTCTGTACTATACCTTTCTCATGAATGATGATTCTGACTTCAAAAAGTACAAATACATTTTTTAAAAGTGTTCTTTAATTCTCTCTAGGGGATAATAATTCATGCCACTTGGCAAAATATATATAGTTTTTTGTATATTTATAGGAATATGTAAAGAATTTACATTAGCTTTTCAGTCCACTTGGATATTATTTTTTGTATTCACTATTGTGGATCTATTTTGCAAATTTTTAACTTTTGCTCCTTCAACATTTATTGACTAATTAACTCTTTCAAACAAAATAATAAATTTTTAATCTGTTTTATAAACAGATTTGTGTGTGTTTTCAGTACTATTTATACTACTATTAAATATTGAACTTTTTATTAACTTTACTTTGACATTTTTCTTCCCCTTCATTGGATCATTGTCATTTTTGAAATATTTCTTAACTTTTATATTTACCACACTTTGAGTTTTCACTGGAATTATGTTTCATTATGTATTATTATGGGGAGAACTGACGTGTTTTTAAGGGTTTTGTTTGCCAATTAGCCAGGCTTATAGGGTTTTTTTCTCCCAATTTCATTCCAAGTATTTTATAAACTTGTTTTACAAAGAGTAACCTTTTTACAAGAAATTTGCCTTTTCAGCTTCAAATGAAGAAGTTAAATGAACTATCAGTGTTATGAATAGTCTGAAAATGTCTTTACATTCTTGAAATAATTCTTGAGGTGATGTATTTTTTTAAAATATATAAGCCTGGGTATTCATAATATCATGTTAACTTGTAAAAGTAATATTCATGAGATTGTGTTTTCATATTTTCTGGTTTAATGCCAGGTTTATGGTAACTTGCTAAAATTCATTAAAATACTATTACGTTGTGTATGTCCAGGATTAATTAGTAATTATACTTAAAAGTATGAAAAATCATGATAGTAAATTTTGGGAGCTTGCTGATATTTTGATGCAATAGTTAAAAGAACCAATACTTTTTCTTCCATATTTAAGTAAAGTGAGCACAAATTATTAATTATATTGATTATTATTATATAATTATATTGATTATATAATTTGTTTATGTAATATCTTCAGTTATCTCTTAGGTTATGTAATTTACTCTCATTTATTTTTCCCTTTCAAAAGAGTGTATAACAATAATAATTGTTCAAAGTTTTTGTTTAAAATTGTTTTAACATGTTTCTTGATTATCTGCATTGTTGAATTCATTAATACTAATTAAACATAAAATTTAAGTTGTAAAGCCATTGTTTATACAGTTTGAGTGCTTATTTTACTTCTTAGTTTGCACATTTATTTCTTCTGTTATGTCACATGTGAGTGGTAAGCTCTCCAGTCCTTATTTGTGTTCTTATATACTTGTCAATAAACAATATCTTAACTGATTATAGTATTCATGTATTAGTCTCTCCTCCCCCCAAAATATATTTTTCTCCATTGCTTTGAGGATGGAAATAAATATTATATGGAAAATTTTTCACATCATTTGATTTTATCCTTTGCTTTTCCAGTGTTTTTCTTTGAAATGAAAAAAATCACATTTATGTAAGCATTTCTTCATCATTGTCTTGAAAGACCTTAACTATAAAGATTTTTAACATAATAAGAATCCATCAAAATATTTCTTTGGTATTATATTTGATTTGAAACAACTTTTATGAGTAAGGTATTTATTGTTATATAAAGTTACCCTGAAAGTGACTTTGAAGCAACATCCATCTGTTAGCTCTGTTTTTGTGCTCGAGAATCAAGGTGTGATTCTACTGGATCTTCTGGTTTAGTCTGATCAAGCTGGTGTCAGCCAGATCTGTGATCTCTCATATGAAGGCTTGATCGAGGAAAGATTTTCTTTGGATAGCTCATCTAGTTCAGGGAACACATAGCTCTTTTCAGTCCTATATATTGTTCAGTCATAAGAGTGTGTGTGTTTTTAAAAACATTTTATTATTATATATTTGTCACACATATTAATTGCATTGACCATAGAGAATGTGTACTTTTACATAATACATCTTTTTTCTCCGTTCTCCTTCTCACCCTTCAATACCTCCTCCCCTCCCCATTTATAAAAGATTCATCTTCATTTTTTTCCTTTCATTCTCTTTTTGCTTTTCCTTTTCCCTCGCCCCTTCTTCATTCTCCTTCCCATTTGAACATTTTTTTTTCCTATTTTCCAGTGTCTATCATCCATTTCGGGCCTTTCTTATTCTTTTGGTTTCTCCCACAAGAGAAACAATGTGATGTTTAAATGTGTGTCTGATTTCACTTAAAAGCATGTTCTCAAAATATATCCATTTACCTAAAAATGTCTGAAATTTTCCTTTATGGCAGAGGAGTAGACCATTGTATATAAAAACTACATTTTCTTTATCCATTCACCCTTCAAAGGGCCCGAGATGGGCTATTTCCAAGATGTAGCTATCACTAATTGTGCTGCTATATACCATGGTATGATGCTTTTAACTCTTTCAAGAAGATATCAAAGAAGAGGAATGGCTAGGCCAAATGGTACTTCTAGTTTTAGTTTATTGAGGAATCTTTGTACTGCTTTCTACAGTGATTGTACCAATTTATCCTCCCACAAACAGTGGGAAAAGATTTCTTTTCCCTCACAGCCTCACTAACGTTTACTATTGGTTGATTTCTTGATGATTGCCATTCTTTCTGAAGTGAGTTGGAGTCTCAGTATTTGCATCTCTCAAAAGTAATGTCGAACATATTTACATACATTTGTTTGCTGTTTATATTTCTTCATCTGAGAAGTTTGTTCATTTCAGATTCCCATTTTTGGGGTAAAGCCTTCAAACTGGTGAGGGTCTGATATATTTGAGTTGTTTATACATTCTAGTTATTAGTCCTTTGTATGAGGAAAAGCTGATAAATTTTCTCATTTTGTGAGTTGTCTCGTTACTCTGTTGGCTCTTCCATTTTCTGGCAAAAACTTTTTAATATTAGATCCCAGTTGTTGATTCTTTGTAATATTTCCTATGCAGTTGGGGTTTTATCCATAAATCTTTGCCTACAACTTTGTCGTCAAGAATTTTACCTATTTTATCTTCTAGCAGATCCATTCTGACTCAGGTTTAATGCATGCTGAGACATAAGGGTCTAGGTTTAATCTTAAGCATGTAGTAAGCCAGTGTCACAGGCACCATTTATTAAAGAGGCTATCTATCTTCCAGTGAAGGTGTTTGACCTGTCTCAAAGATAAGGCACCTGAGTGCATTTAGAGTTGTGGCTGTATCTTCTGTTCTGTTGCATTGATCTTCAGGTCTCTTCTCTCTCTCTCTCTCTCTCTCTCTCTCTCTCTCTCTCTCTCTCTGTCTCTGTCTCTCGTCGACACTTATGTTTTTATCACAGTAGCTTTATAATATGATCTGAGAAAACTGGGAATTGTGATGTCCCCTGTGTTGTGTTTGTTGCTCAGAATTGTTTTTGCTAGAACTCTCTTGTTCCATATGAATTATAGGGATATTTTCTCTAGTTCTTTGAAATATGCTATTAGTATTTTGATTGGGATTGCACTAAATCTGTGTCACAGTTTTGCAAGTGTTTCTGCCTGTTCAAGAACAGGTGATATCTTTCCATTTTATATTTTCTTTCCTCATCTTTTTTAGAGTCCTGTATTTTTCAGCATATAAGTTTTCATTTCCTTTGTTAGGTTGAGTGTTTGGGGTGTGTGTGTGTGTGTGTGTGTGTGTGTGTGTGTGTGATCTTATAGAGAAGAGAAGAAAGGGAAGGGGAGAGAAAACATGTTAGTGTCACCTTTCCATTTTAATATGTAAGTATTTTTCTTCTACAGGTGCCTTAGCTGGACCAATTATTGTGGAGCCACATATCACAGCAGTATGGGGGAAGAATGTTTCACTCAAGTGTTTAATTGAAGTGAATGAAACTATAACACAAATTTCATGGGAGAAGATACATGGCAAAAATACACAGACTGTTGCAGTTCATCATCCTCAGTATGGGTTCTCTGTTCAAGGAGAATATCAGGGAAGAGTCTCGTTTAAAAATTATTCACTTAATGATGCAACAATTACTCTGCATAATATAGGATTTTCTGATTCTGGAAAATACATTTGCAAAGCTGTTACGTTCCCACTTGGAAATGCCCAGTCCTCTACAACTGTAACTGTGTTAGGTAAGTGTGGTGAGATTGTGGTGACAGTGACAAGAATTCTAATAATAATATTTTTAAGGATTTAAAGTGTTTGAAACTTTTCTTAAATTTAGGATTAAAATGAATTTAAATATGTTTTTTCAAGTTCTGTCTTAAAATGTTTTGACTCTAGGCTCTCTTAATGTAAACAAAATCTTTCCCTGTGTCTACCTATATCTTATAATACTGGATACTTTTAGCTATTACTTTTTATAGTATTTTATTTCTAATACTAAATTATTATAAATGCTGAATTTGTATAACATTCATTTTAATTACCTGGTTAATGGTAATTAATGGTAGCTAAATTACCATGTTCAGTTAAGCTTTCCAGTTTTTCCAGAGACCGGCTTTGACTTTTTTGAACCTTTTACAAACCACATGTTTCAGATTTCACCTTTAGAGTTTATTCTTGCTATTGTAGATTTATATAACTGTTTGTGTTTTGTGATTAAGGAAGACTGGTCTAGTGTTTTTGATAGATTATTACAATGTTGGAACTATGAATCTATGAATGCTTAGAATTAGTTTTTTAATTTCTGCCAATTGAATGAAGAAGGGCAGAAATAAAAATAATTAGGATTTTGTAACTGGTAAGAAATAAGGGAAACTTGAACAGTAGCAGGTTTTAAAATTGGTGACTGAATACATTGTTGCTGTTAATTGGGCTCCTCTAAATGAAAAACAGGTATTGGGAGGCTTAGACGGTGAGTTCAGTGTCAGCTTGTTAGCTTAAGTATGTAAGTGAAAGTAACAGGCATGTAGTTTGAAACTGAGGAGCTAAGTCTTGTAGAAAAATAGGAGGAAGCTTGGAATCATAGGTAATGTTTATTAGATAAAAGTTTTAAAGTACATATTAAAGTAAACAGGCCGAGGACAATGTATTAGAGCACAGGTGGAGAAAATACGGAGAGTTTAAAGAGAGCTATGAGAAGAGCTCAGGCAGAGTAACAATCAAGAGGAGATAATTTTCAAGAAACGATTATTTCTAGTAACCTTTTCTTCCTACAGAAATGATTTATCTTTTTAGCTCTCTTAAGAGTGACACATAGCTATTTAATCCTTCTAAATTCATTACTTAAAACAGATTCCATAGATAAGAGGACTTAGTTCTTTTTAACTGACTAGAGAGGACTGTGCTGAAACAGCAAATTCTACAAAATTAATAGAATAGTTGTAAACAAAATATTGTGTCTGTAGATGGTGGTCTTTGGTGACACCAAGGTTTCAGTGGAATGTTTGCCACAGAAGCCAAATTAAGAAAATGGGGTATAACAGAAAGTTTTAGAAAAATTCAGCAAACATCCATGTAGAAAAATTGTTACACTAATTACAGTATTCCTCTTAAAGGAATATTATATAATCATTAAGAGAAAATTAGAGTTGAGGAAAGTATTGCCATGTTTAAAGAAATGAGCCACAAAATTAGAAATATAAATAAGACTCTATAATCTCTGAAAAAAGTGGACAGAGGAGCTGAGGTGTTTGTTTTTTTGTACCGGGGATGACACTCGTGACCTGGCACTTACAAGGCAGGCTCTTGTGCTTCCGAACTAAATCCTCAGCCCTAGAGCTGAGCTTTTACAGTTGCTTCAGCTTCTTCCTTAGGTGGTTTTTAAGCTATGATCAGAAATAATAGGGGGTCAGAGAGGAGGGAATAACAAGGAGAGAAAGATTCTGAGTAAAATCTGAAGGGCAGAGAAAACAGCAGCAGACAGCCAGACAGGGAAGGGGACTCTGCAGAGAGGCTGGATGGAGTACTGAGATACATGAAAAGTAAGTTTAGAAAACCAGTGAAACAAGAATGTAGATGGGTTTTGCTTAAGAAATATAAGTTACAATTTAAAATTGACTTTAAAATAAACGGTTAAGCTCTTTAATAGAAAATGCTATTAATGATGGCATAAATTACTCAGACCAACTGCCACTGAAGGAGAAATATAAATACCTTTTGAGAACTTCAAGGAAGTATTAACAGGATGAGGAATATTAGTAGATTAAAATCTAGCAGATGTAAACAGAGATTAGCCTGGTGCTGATAACTATATCCAACCTTATAATGTTTGTTGAAACAGAAGAAACATATGAGATGTGGAGCTAAAATTTTGAGGGCCTTGACAAGTGAGTGAAATGTGTAAAATTTTGCTCAATATGAAATATCTAGTTGAACCTTCTTGTTCACTTTTACCCTAACGACCTCAGTCTCAGAGTTTAAAAAAGGAGAAGCAAACTGGCTTCTTTGTAGACCTTTGGATGTCCTTATGTCGACTGAACTTAAGAAAGTCTTAGCCTGGTTATTGTTTTCAGGAGCTTAGCCTAAGAAAACATGTATCGTTTCTGGGGAAAGGTACTTATTTTCTGATCTCAGAATATTTGTGCTATAATTATTTAAACTCAGCCACTCAGTCTGGTTTTGAATAACAAGATATACAGGTAAGGAAGACCCCATAGGTAGCAGCTGCATAGATAAAACAACAGCTACTGACCCATACAAGTCAATTTATCAATTTTCTTCAGAGAACAAGGAACAATAAACATGTTACATAGTACGGCTCAAAAGAGAAGATAGTATTTCTTACTATATAAACTAGTTAACCGTCAAAAGTAAATAAAACCAATACATTTTAATTAAAAACGTCTCATGGCTACACCAGAAGGGTAAAAAGACCAAGTTTGTACTAGTAAAAGACACTTGCACCACATATGAGCCACAAAAGGACCGTCTTCTCAAAAGTGTGTGCAACTTCTGTACCTCAATGTAGAATAAAGCAGAGTTAGCTTTAATAGACATTGGAAGCAGGAAAAATTCCAAATGCCTCCAAAACACATGAAAAATTTCTAATCTCATACAAAAATTAAAAATCAAATCTTAATTGTATGTCCCTACGTTACAATGAAATTGGGAAACACTGAGAGAAACCTGGCAGTATTAACTGTGGTGAGAGAATGTACCAAAAAAATGCCAAAAGTTTGGAGTAAGTTAGTACTTTGAAAAGGTTTTTCACATGACTTGGTGGTAAAATTAAAAATAAGTATAGTAGTAGGAGTTCTATAACATAGGACTAACTAGAGAAGCTTAAAAACAAATATACCAAGATACAGTAGTGAGAATGTTTTAAAATTATTTAAATTTCCAAAGAGGAAACAGCTCTTATATCCATAATAAATAAATTGTACAACAGTTAAAACTAATCTTTTCAATTGCTTATAGATTAAGTGACCTAAAATTAAAAAGTGAAAATGAATTCTAAAAGTAATAAACTAAAGCTAAATGATCCAATATGAACTAATCTCCGTAACATAAAAGTGAATTAAAAACAAGCTGTACAAAAACATAAATTATCTAATACCATTCTCACAAGTTCCAAAACAGGCAAAATAAAATTCCCTTGCTTAGATCTACCCTTATTAGTATAGAACTATAAATAAAAATAAGTAAAAACTTATTTTGGGGTGAGAACAAAGAGAGTGGCTAATGTTCTACATTAGAGTGTACTTAGAGTGGCTAATGTCTTACATTACTGCGTGTGGTAATTACAGAGATATTTGCTGTATGATTATTCATTATATGTGTCTTGTGTACTTTTTCGCCTTGTTTTTCAATGTACAACTGCTTCTATAGCTTATGAAAGTAGAGAATATTAATATCCTGCAAAATAAAATTTGAATAAAAGATTGATAGATATGAAGAACAGTTGACATTGCAACAACCAGTTAGTAATCTTGAAAATGAAGATAGTCGTTGGGTAAAAATTTAATGCATAGAATAAACTATCTACTTAACTGGATGAGTTTATGAAGCATACTCTAAGTAATTTACATAGAAAGAAATACAGACATTCCTGGAAAGTGTGAAGAAATACCTAAGAGAGGTGTATGGAGCAGATTGAAGGGTTCTGTCATTTGTACTTTATTCTGCTGAGGTACTTACACTGATGGGTGGTATGTACCTTCCAATAAACCTAGTTATTAATGATGTTTCATGTTAGTGTGAATTTAAATATGTCTTACAACCAAAAGCAGTAAACAGAATAGCAGCCCATCTCATTTCTTTTTATGTATATAAGAAAGTAAAGATTTAAAAGCCAGTGTGTTTTAAATGAAATTATTCTATTGCTCCCTGACCCAAGAAAAACATGTTCTGTTTTTTTCCTTAAAGGATGTTTTTGCTTAAAGGACGTTTTGTTGGTTTGTGTATTTAACATTTTAACTGTAGGCTGAATACTAGTTATTTATATTAAAAAGCGTTGCTTTAAACTTTTTGTCAAAACTAATTTTTTTCTTCAAGAATAATCTTTAATATCATAAATTATAATCAAATTCACAAAAATTTTTCATATCTACTAATTTGGAGAGAATTCATCTGTCCCTGTGAGTAATGTTCATCTGTGTCAGGGAGAGTCATATTTTTATAGTAATGTAAAATTTTTGCCATTTTCTCCCTAGTCTGTCCTCTGTTCTTGATTGCTTTAAGAATGTAGTTGATGGGGCTGGGGATTTAGCTCAGTGGCATAAGCACCTGCTTTGCAAGCAGGCAGTCGTGAGTTCGATCCCTGGTACCGATAAAAAAGAAAAAGACCAAAAAAAAAAAATTAAAAAAAGAGAATGTAGTTGATACTGGCATTACTTGAAAAGCATGTGTATAGGTTTTGTTAACAGTCGTCCCCGAGCTTGTGAAATGGGTCTAGAAATGGTTGGAAGGATGTAAACTATTTTTAATTGACATGCAACTCTTTAAAAATTTAAACAGTTGAACCCACGGTGAGCCTGACAAAAGGGGTAGATTCTTTAATCGATGGAGGAAATGAAACAGTAGCAGCCACTTGCACAGCAGCTACTGGAAAACCGGTTGCACGCATTACCTGGGAAGGTGACCTTGGTGAAACAGAATCCTCTACAACTAACTTTGCAAATGAAACAGCAACAATTGTCAGCAAGTATAAGCTGTTTCCAACTCGATTTGCTAGAGGAAGACGAATTACTTGTGTTGTGAAACATCCAGCCTTGGAAAAGGACATCCGATACTCTTTCGTGTTAGATATACAATGTAAGTAAATGCTGATATTCGCCTTTCAACTTAAGCCCTCTGCTTTAGAACTTTGACATATTTCATCATGAAACTCTTTTCCCCTAATGAAGGATGATTTGTTCTGTTATGTGCTTATTTTATAGATGCCCCTGAAGTTTCAGTAACAGGGTATGATGGAAATTGGTTTGTGGGAAGAAAAGGTGTTAATCTCAAGTGTAATGCTGATGCAAATCCACCACCTTTTAAATCTGTGTGGAGCAGGTAAACATTGTTACATTTCTACTGAGAAATTACTCAAAAATGAATATTTTTCAGTGTGTGTTTAAAGTCATTTTTAAGTGGTATAATGCATAATTATAATGAATGAATTTAATTAAATGAAAGAGTTCTACATAGATGTTCTATTGCCTCACCCTCAAGCTTTCATTTCTGTTCCTTACTAACATCTCAAAGATGTAATGTCTTATTGTAAGTTGCTGTATATATAGTTTGAAGGTACTTAAAATAATTTTTTGCTTTTTAAAATCTAGGTTGGATGGACTGTGGCCTGATGGCTTACTGGCTTCAGACAATACTCTTCATTTTGTCCATCCACTGACTTTCAATTATTCTGGTGTTTATGTCTGTAAAGTGACAAATTCCCTTGGGCAAAGAAGTGATCAAAAGGTTATCTATATTTCTGGTAAGTTACTGTGTACTTGTAAAAAAGTTATTGAAAATGTTTCTGTAATAAGAATTATAAATGATACTATGATCCTAAACAGTAATTTTTACTTGCAGAGATATGACTTGACTGGTATAAAATTTTTCAAATAAATATAAAATATCTCTAAAAGAGATACAGTAAAATGACCCTGTATGAAATACATGTGTAAGTTGTCATTCCTTACAGGAATGTCAAAATGTATATATGACAGTTTATGTGCATTTTAATACTTTTTCATCTTGTTTTCACTTAAGCAGTATTACGTTTGATTTCTAGACATACTCCTTTCTAAATTTTGTTTAAACAAAGTGTACCTTTGGTGGCCACTCTGCCTGTAGGTGTTTTGATTTTTAAAAATAATGTTATTCTTGGTAACCTAGTTTATTAAATAACACTGTTTGCCACTCATGGCGTCTCTCACATTGGTTTACTGAGAGATAAAATAAGAATGCTACTGAAAATGTTTTAATGAAATAAACTTTAATACTGCCAGTTCTTCAGCCACTAAGAACTCAGAGTTTGAATATTATTTGTTTCATTTGGATGTTTTGTTAATTGGCTGAATATAAATTGGAGCATTCACAAAATGTACATGGAGCTGAAATACATTTTTATGTGACTATAAATTGTTAATGGAATGCTGATTTGGGAAAAATATGTCAAATATTTGACTATTAACTGCAAGAATACTATATAGCAGTCTTTCTCTAATAAATAGAAAACTAGGAGAAAAAGGAAGAGAACCTTGAGAAATTCAGGTTGGTAAATGTGTAATGAGTAGTTAAGGTTTTTAATATCTTTGTATCTAAAATGAAATAAGTTAAGCATTTTAGAAAAACTTTATACTAGCTTGAATATTATATTCTTACTCTTTATGGTAAGAACAGCCATCCCTGTACTATATTCATGTAGTGCTCTCCATCATTTATAGTTGTATGCTTATTTATTTCCTTATTCACCAACTAATTTTTTTCTCTGCAATGATATTGGCAAGAAGCATAGAGCTATACGCACTCCTAGTTGTTTCTGCTAGTAGCAGAGCTTTGGTGAAAACCAGAGGAGGGTTAAACAGTAGTGGATATATTTCTTTAGAGTATAAGCCATATAAAATGAATATTTGAAATGTAATTGTGTAAACAATATTTGCTTTTTGGTTCCTGTGTTATACTGTGTGGTGTGGAATATTACTTGTAAATCGTAAGTGCATTATAGCTATGTAGTGCTTCAGGCAAGGTTCAGTTTGGGCACTCACATACGGCAGTTCCACTAGCGATATCTGAAGTTTATATCTTTCGGCATTCTAGTTCCACTTCCTACTATTTCCAGCTGCCTATTTAATGACCATTAAACTGTATGTGGAAGTTGAATAGCAATTACAGTTTAACATTTCCGAAACTGACCTTCTCATCTTTCTCCTGTTCGGTGATACCAAATCTCTTTCCCTGCCATTCTTTCTCCTTATGGTTATATATAGTTCCATTTTTACCGTTGTTCAAGGTACAACCTGGAAAGTATCTTTGATTTCAGTTCTTTTTCATGCTGTACCCATTCCATTAACAAATCAGTGTTGACTCTCATGTTATGTAGAACTTTACCAATTACTTCCTTTTTCTGCTAGTTTAAGCCATCAAAAAGTGTTACTTCATTACATATTAGCAATTTGAATCTGTCACTTTTCAGTCTGTTATCAGATGAACAACCAGAGGGATCCTTTTAAAGAGCATGTCACATCATGTCACTCTTCTCAGAACTTCTCATGGAATTTGCATTTTTACCCACAGTGGTAACTAATATTTACAATGAGTCAAGCCCCTATACATGTTCTAGTCTTAGATTATCTCCCTACCTCATTCCTTATTACATAATCTTTACTTACTGACATAACCACTGGCTTTCTTGTTTTTTGAACACAGCAGGTACTTTTCTGTGTCTCAGTCTTTGCATTTTCTGCTTTTACTCTTTGGAATACTTTTCCACAAAGTATCCTCGTGGCTCTTCCCTTCACAATCTTTAGGTATTTGCTAAAAATACCACTTTGTTCAATGAGATCTTTCCTCCTTTGTGACTGTATTTTAAATTGAAAATGCTTTCTTATCATTCTTTTATTATATTGTCATCCTCTATCTTGCTTTTCTATTTTTTCATGTGACATAATACATGTTTTATTTACATGATTGTCTGTTTATACCTCCATCACCATTTGGGTTTTAGCAGGATTTTTATCTTTCATAATTGCTATGTTTCTGTCATCTGCAGTCATGTCTTAGGTAGATGATCAACATGCTTTCATGCGTGCATGAATGAATTTGAGAAGAACAATGAAAAAACAATTAAAAATCCAGTCTTTTACATAATTTACGTTCTTTGACTAGAGAACTGATAACTTTGCATATTTTTTAATTTGACATCTACTAAGCCTTAGTGTAATTTTTCCTTCATATATGTCACTTTTCTTTAGAAATAAAAAAGCAAATTTTTACATGCCACATAAGTAGCCTTATGCCTAAAATTCATCTTGTGCAAATGTTGTATGTGGGGGTCTAGACACATAGTTTCAAAACCTAACGACCCACACTAAGCAGTTTATAAAATTTTAAATGAATTATTTTGTTTATTCAAACAACCCATGTAAAAGAAGTAGTCCACTTAATTTTTAATGCCGTAATCTTTAGATTAAAATATACCTTACAGCTACCAAGGATATACTATTTCTTTTCCTATTTAGAAGCAGTTTTTTAGAAAAAGAAATAAATTCTTCATTTAGAGAGGAATATTAGAGGTATTCTAAAATTCATTATAGCTGTTATATTTTCATTTATCATATATTTAATAATGTTGAGAAAGATCTGACTGAAAAATAAAGAATGATGTTGGGAAGTTTTAAATCACAGTAAACAATTAGCTGTTAATGAATAGAAAACTTTTCTGCCTCCTTATGTGATATGACTTTTGTTTTAAAATTTAAAGACAAAAACGTGTTATTGCTTTAAAATATATAATGAAGTATTAACAGTAGAATGACATTAGTAAGAAGGTTAACTTAACACTGATTTAGAAAGAAGACGATGTGTTCAACCCTCAGGAATCACAACATAGTCCAAATTTTAGTTTTTTTTCCCTTTTTTTCTAAAAGCTGTATTTTGTTAAATCAGAATAAAATGAATAGTTAATACTTTACAAGTAGAATTTTTTAAATGCCTTTTTCTTAAGATATATGGTAAAAATGCTGAGATATGTATCTTACACCTGGGTAGTGCAGGTGTAATAATGTTAAAACCTTAAAAACCATATATGCACTACAATGTGTAAATTGTAATTTATTCAGGTGATTTCTAGTTCTGGTTAAGTGTGCTGATGCCAGCTTCGTATACTTTTTTCACAATGATTACCTGGTAATCATTGTGAAGATGTACAGTACTTAAAACTACCTCAAAAAAATGCAGTTGTCTTATTAATGATTTAAGCTTTAATCTATTCAATATTCTAATTCTGTGAAGTTGGATTACTTGATGCTTTTCTACTTTTACAGAAATAATCCCTGACTTTCACAGTTTTTTTCAGATAGTTCAGCTAATGAATATGTTTTTGTTAATAATAAAGTTCTTCCTTGATTCACTTACATGTATTATGATAACTAATGACTCACTTCAGAGTACTTGACAAGATTACCTATTAGTGTATAAACTCAGGAAATTAGTTATACTGTACTTGTTAAGTTTTATACTGTACTTGCTAAATTTTTACCACATTCTGTATGTACGGCATTCCGTGATGAAACCTGTTTCAGTAAGTATTTTTCTTTAGCTTATATTAGAATAACTTACCCCATGTAGATTTAGTATTTTTCTAACAATCACTGTTTTAAAGCTTGGTCAATACCACCCATTTAAATGTTAATTATAGGAAACTGCCATTTGGGTCATTTATTTTTATCTGTGGGGGAAAAAATGGTTTTTAAACTCATCTTTTCTTCAGATTCTAGTATTTTTATGTAACATGACCTACAAATACTACTTAATTGATAATTAACCAATCTATAATTGTACTACTTAACATTTAGTTGCTTTTTAATAATAACTGTACTATAATCTAATGTTAATATACAGGTTCATTTGCATCTTAATATTTAAGTATTATAGAATGTTCTCTCTAAAATATTAGCTGCTGTTTTGAGATTCTATTTTAGAGCAATGATGATTACATTTGGCAGATACAGTTAAAATTACTTAATTTTCAGATGTATCCCCCATGGGATATTAGATACACTGATTTTTATCACTTTAGAACACTTTTACTTTGTTAGACTCACTTGATATTAGTCCATTTGGCTTAAAAATTTAAACATACTTTTTATTTTTTAAAATATTATGTGATGGTTTTTACCATATATTTCTTCCATTAAAAATTTTGAACGCTCTTTATTTAAGGAAAATATTTTTGAGAGAATTATTAAGCCACCAGCTTATACTGTGCCCACTTAACAAGATTCTATAGTTTTTCATTCTTTTAAAAGTAAGGTCAGATATTACATGCTAGATAAAGGTGAATATTAAGAAAACATAATTTAGTTTTTTTATTCTTTCATTTTATTTCATTGTGCTACTGGCTAAGAAAGTTCACATTTGAATTGTGTGACTGTTTAAATTTTTATATGGTAGTTCTTAAGCCAGCTATGTGTAGAACATTTAAGTAATACTCTACGTTAAAAGAGTAACATTTCTTAGAATATAATAACTTAAACTTGGAACAGAAGAATTTAGGGTTTATACCATAAATCTTACTCCTTTCATTTCATTGGTAACTAAGTGTCAGTTTTGTTATTTTTATAATACATAATGATATCACTGCTTTCTAATCTTAATACATTAAGAATGAAAAACTATTGGTATTATGAATATATTCATTAATTATGCTATCTTTTCAAGTTGCTGCTGAATCTGCTTGCATTGACATTCTGTGCCTTTCTGTGTCTTGTC